CGTAGTTTTTCACAGGGGGGTCAGGTAGAGGTCACAAAAATTATTTGGGAGCATCTGGAGCATCATCCTCATGAGGGGAGACTGCAGGAGATGGGCCTGGTCAGTCTGGAGAAGGGAAGGCTGAGAAGGATCCCATAAATTATAGGATTATGGATCCCATAAATCCATAAAATATCCCCAAGGGGTGTCAGAGGAATGTGCCAGACTGTTCAGTGTTCCCGAGATGCAGCAACAGCCATAAGCTAAAACACAGGTTTCACCTCAACAGATTTAGGGATGAACGATCCCCTGTGGGCAGCTGGCAGGGAGATGGACCCACAGCAACAACCCCCAGAAGAGTTTTTGGGGTTGTCTTTCCTCCTACCCCGTCCTACACGTGCAGATGTGTCACAGGGCTGCTCAGCCCCACTGTAAAACACAAAAAAATCCAGGGAAGCCTCCTGGGACAGGGCAAGGAGCAGGTTGATCAGAGGACTGCACCAGGAGAGCGAACAATTCCTCTGGGATTTTTCTCCTCACTGCTCCAAGCTCTGGATTTGGAGGCGTTGCTGGCAGCGGGGTGAGGAGCGCTTGGAGCTGGAGCTGCTGCCACAGCCTCCTCCTTTTCAGAGCATCATTTTTCCCCAAATAACCGCGAGTCCCTGCGGCAGCCCCGGCGCTGTTCCAGCTCCCATCACGGCCTGCCCTGGAGCGGGACCAAGGGTCCTGATGTCTCCCCATGGAAGCGAGCTGTCAGTCTCTCTTCCCAGGACCAGGCTTAAACAGCTCCCAGCAGAAAGCTGCTGGAATGGGAGAGGGATTCACCTCCCTCTGCTGCTGTCCCGTGGCTTCACGCTCACGAGATCAGCTCCAGGGAGATCCGTAATTATCTATTTCCAGCATCTTCAGCGGAGCGTGCAGGATTCAGTGATTCATCAGTGACCTTCAGGCTCCATGGCTGTCCTGTTAAGGGGGACTAAGATAGTCTGTAGACACTGGTTAGCTGGGCATTGTGGCTTTTTAATTGTTAAATTGCCTTTAATTTGCTTTAAAAGCGGGACACAACATTATCATAAAAATGGAATATGATGTCTTCCCCTTTACTACAGTGGAACAACAAGAGCAGCAGAAAAAAGGTAAAAATAGCAAAGCAAATTGTAGCGATTTGCGATGTTTTCTGTCTTGAAAAACACAAGTGACACAAATCCTCCTCCTCCTGCTGCTCTCATGGTTCTCCCAACAGCTGCCGGTGCCGTGAGGCCGCACTGGTGGGATCCCACCTGCCACTCTTTCGTGCTTGGTCCTTCACAGCTGGCACCTCCTCCGCTGGGAAACCAGGGACTGACACCGGCACGTCGCTGTGGAAGCGTTCAGCTCCTGCTTTGACAGCTCAAGTCAAAACACAGCCCAGCTCCAAGAGCGTGTTTCCACATTCAAACGCCCTTTGGCTGCAGCAGCCGCTGGGGCTCTGATTTGAAACGTATTTTGTGCCATTTCTGCTCCCTCCCAGGGGACTCAGTGCAGACAGCCACAGTGCTGTGCCCTGCTCCATCCTTTTCACTCCTGACGGGCTGGGGGTACCAAACTGCCCTGCAGGGACCTCCCCTGCTCTTGGTGCCCTCAACACACGGGTGCAGCTGCTCCTGGTGACCAGAGACACCTCTCAGGACCTTCAGCAGCACCTGGAGCACGGGGGACATCTGTTAATGGCTTTATCTGGCCGATCCATCCCCATGGCTGGTGCTGGTGAGTGACCCATCCATCATCCAGAGGTCTCCCTCCAAGCTGCTGTGCCACCGTGCTGCGCCTCACTCGTTGCTGCTCACCCTGAAACATCACCCAATTCCCAGCGCAGATGGCAGGCTTTCTACCAAATGCCTCCCCTGGTTTAGGATTTCTCCTCCTCGGCTTTAGGATTTTGCCAGCAGATGGCAGGGCGGGATTGCTCCACGAGCAGAAAGGAGGGAGAACATTTCACCCAGGGTAGAAGGGAGATGAAGGATGTTTTTCATGCAGGGGAATTTGGGAGGGCAGGGCTGGCTCCTGGAGCACCTGCTGCACAGCAGATCTCCCACAGCCTGGGAGTGGCCCTGTCCCCTCCAAGCTCGTTCATCAGGACCCTGTTTTGTTCCAGCAAGAGCCTTGTTTAGCACTGCTGTGCCCCCGAGCAGCCCACGCCTTCCCACAGGCCTCTCCATCAGCAATTCTTTTTGCCTGAAGAACAAGGATGAAGGGAGTGCACCAAGAGTTCGGGGATTTCCCCTGCAGGGTAGATCAAAAGCTGCCAGGGTGTATAAGAGTTTAGGCTAAAGAAAACCCTGGGAAAAAAAACAAAAAAATTTAAATGAAGCTGCAATCCCAAGCTCTCAGTAATCACTGTGTTGCTGTGTGGAGAAAACCCCACGGGCCTGAACCGATGCCCTTCCACCCACCCTGGCTCCCGTTTGATCCGCGGAGATCAGGAAGTGGGGTTTGTTTTTTTTTTGTGGGTTGTTGTTTTTTTTCCTTTTTTGCTTTTTTTTCCCACTGTCTCTGTTTTGTTTTAGCACTGTAGCCCGCGGGGCCGGCCTGTGTGCCTGCCTCCCACGGAGGGTGATTTGGTTCCTCTCTCTGGCCAAGGCCACACCAGAGCTCCAGCCGGGTCAGGGCAGCAGCAGGATGACCCATCATCAATAGCCCTATTATTGCTCTTGAAATTTCTCCCCGCTTCCAGACGGATGCTGCATTACCCCAGCACAGCTGCAGTTTCTCCCTTCCAGCAATTCCCCACACAGCTCTTAAGGAAGGGATTAATGGGCGGTTTTGAAAGGCATTTTGCAGCGAGAAGGAGTTATGGGAAAGGAAGTTGAATTCCCACCATTCCCCAGTAAAATTCTCCCAAGCATCTTTCACGAAGAGGGATCATTTACTGCTCCTTGCCTCAAAACAGAGACAGGCTCTCAGCTGTGGCTCTTTGTTTTGTCCAAAGCGTTTCCCGACAGCGAGATGCCACAGGGGTTATTCTGGTCCTGGCTGCAAAGGGTCAGGGGACCAGGGCGAGCCCTCAGTGTGGCTGCGAGGCTCTGCCAGACCCCATCTGTTCCCTGACACTTCTGTAGACCCTAAATTAAATTATTTCTTCTCAAGTGACGGGTTATTGCCAATCTCAGGGTAAGCCTCGGTGAATAGCCCTCTGATTTTGACTCGTTTTCCAAAGTAAAAAGTCTTGGGGCCAGAATGGCCAGGAGCTATAAAAGAATCAGAGATGTCACCTTCAAAGCTGCATCTTACTTTTTTTTGAAGCTTTTCAGGGATCAAAACCTGCCACAAAACAACTCATCAATGACCTTCCCAGGTCCCTTCTGTGATCCAGGCAGGCTAGATGAGCAGATGGGATTCACTTCAACACTAAATTTCACAACCAAGGACAGGGGTTTGAAAGACTTTATTTGACACCTTTACTGATGTCACGGCTCGTGAATCTAAGAGCACTGCACAGCGTAAAGTGAGGCCGTGAGCTCTAGTGCACAAACCAGCTGCAGGAACAGCCAGGCTCCACGAGGATTTCCCTCCTGTGACTTTATTAAAAAGGAATATGTTGTTCCTGGCTGATTCCGGCACTTGAGGACAAGGGTGAGAAGCAGCAGAGGCATTTCTGTGTGTTAAGTGCGATGACTTCCACCAAAACAACTGGGAGGGACTCACTTCCCAAACAGTGGCAGATACATACATTGACATGCACATGGCAGATACCATCTGCAGGAAGGAAAACAACAGCTCATCCGCACAGCCCAACCGGCTGCACCTCTGACCCGAGGCATGGGAAGAGTCTCTCCCATTCAAAAGAGATCTTCTCCCTCTTTTTTACCTTCCTTTGCACTGTCCTCTTCTCTTTTCCATGTCGGAGTGCTGTAGAGGTGGGCAAGGGTTGGCCATGCAGCTGGGTCCAAAATATTCTGCACGTGTATCCCAGCAAGTCAAGGCACAAATGCAGGGAGCTGTTCAGGTGGTGGGGAGCACTGGGACACCCTGCCCTGCCACCACAGGACGTGGTGGCTTGAAAAGCTTCAAGCTTCTGTTCTTTCTGCCCAAAGAAGAGAGGAGGGGAGGCCAGCCGCAGGAGCAGAGGTGTGGTCGGCTGTGACAGCCATCTAGGGGCACACGGGGCAAGGCAGGGAGAGCTCTCAGGGCTCAGGATGAGTGCAGTGACACCTCAGTGGGTTTTGGTCCCCAGCCCAGGGAGGGGGATGAGAGGTGTGAGACCCAAACATAGTGCTGGAGAAAGAAAACAGAGACATTGTGGGAGGGGAGGGTGAAGGATGCTGGGCTCAGGGAGAATGAGGGAGGCACTTCAAATTCAGGCTGCTCCAACCCATTTTCCCCCTTTGCAGACACGGCTGTTCAGCAGGGGGTGGAGGACAGACAGCTCCAGCAGGGAGGCTGGCAGAGGGAAAGGCATTTTCTTCTCACTTTGGCAGTCAGAGCCTTGCCCTCGGTGTCTCACCTCTTCACACCTCGGAGCGGGGCAGGGGCTGTGCCCGGGTGGCCTGGCCGGCTGCTCCAGCAGGGTTTGTGCCAGGAGCCCAGCGCAGGCCCTGCAGGCACGGCGGGATCTCAGCCGGGCTGTGGGAACGAGCCCTGCTAAGCCGCTGCCTCACTCCACCTTAAGGGCACGTAAGTGGGAAAAGCTGGTAATGCAGAGAGGAAAGCACAGGGATTAGCAGGCAGCCACTTCTCTTCGGGAGCTGGGGGGGCTGGAGCCTGCCTTGTGGGTGCCAGCAGGGCAAGGGGTGGGAGCTGTGTCCATCCCACCACACCAAAATTAGGTGCTGCAGCTGGGGGACGCGTCGCAGGGAATCGGTGCGAGCAGGTCTGGCCGGCAGCTCCGAGTCCCCGGGGAAATAAAGACAGTAATTCTAAGGCTGGCTGTTTTCCAAAGGAGAGCAAGGCTGGGTTCTGCAGAGGGGTTTGCTGGAGGAGGAGCGGGGTTGGGATCTGCGTGTGCCCCCTCCCTCGCATCCAGAAGGGTCTGGAGCGTGGCCTCGTGCAGACTAGTGCATGGAACTGGATGTGATTTACGTTTGCAGGCATCACGAGGGAGAGGACGTGTGATGGCGAGGCGACGAGGGCGGTGCAAGGGGGGAGGGAAGAGCAGAGAGAATTTTCTCTACGGATCCTTGGCTTCTGCAAAGCAGGAAAGATGCCTTTTCAACCGAGTTTGTTCTCAGCCCTGCGGGCGATGAGCGCTGGGGAACTCCTGTCTCCCGGAGGGGAAGGGAGGGTCAGAAAGCCCCGATTTCCGTCGCCCAGGAGCGGCAGATCCTGGATGTCCCAACCCTGATCCCTGGTCCCTGCGCGGCAGCGCCCAAGACGGGAGGCGCCGCGTAAGCTGGCGGCACAGGGATGCCGGCAGAGGCTGGGGAGAAGAGGAATGTGGCGATTTGGCTGCTCTTGGATGAGCCTTCTCTCGGTGCTCCTGGTGACGGCATCCTGGGCACGGCCGGCACGGCTGCGGCCGAGCTGGCGCCGCGGGCCCTGCGGCTGGACGAGCCCATCCTGCTGGCCAGGAGGCTCCGGCGGGATGGCAGCATCTCGCCGGGGACACGGCGGACAGGGGCCGGCCTCACTGTGGGGCTGGGGTAAGCCAGGGAAGATGCAGTCAAAACAACCGGAGCGGGAGCAGCCTCCCTCCTGGGGACCTGCACAGGGCCGTGCAGGAAGGACCAGGGCCAGGTCTGGATGGGCAGCAGGGAGGTGGCCACGGGCGAAGGCTCCATTTCCGCCACGTAATTATTCAGGTGGGAGAGGAGTCGCAGCCGGATGGGGTCGGCAGCGTTTTGGCCCTCGAGGATGCCCAGGTACCTGACAACTTCGGTGAGGCACTCGCGGAAGCCGATGCTTCTGTAATCCACAGCCAGAGCCCGGGCGTCCAGGAAGCCTGCAGGGAGAGGACGTGGGTGACAGTAAAACCGTGCCGAGCCCAGGAATGCGCCTGGATTTCACTACCCTCTCTAAATGCACTGTGTTTTTCACTTGAGGCACTTTGCTGCCGTGTGATATTCCTGAAGCAGGCAGCCAAGTGGGTGTCCCAAGGGACTGGAGGTTTGAGGGCACGAGAGCGGCGTCTGCGGTTATCTCAGCGGGACAAACCCGCCAGGGTCAGGGAGCCTCTCACTGCTGTGAGACCTAAAGGAGGTTTCATTAGCTGTGCTCAGGAAGGGAGGGTTTTTTTCCCTGTTGGATTCTATCAGTGATGCTGGAGACATGGCTGTGGGCTAGATGGGCGCTGGGATTGGGCTGCCTTTGCCAGTGGGATATTCCACTCAGGACAGTGTCTCCTCAAGGCACAGCTGAGCACCACATCCCTCTGCCTGGCTCCTAAAATTTACACTCCCCTTAAAGCAATGTCCCAGGGCAGTGGCAGAACCAAAACAGCTGGGCTGAGAAAGTTCAAAGCCACAGAAAACAGCAACCAAGCGCTGATTTTCAGGTTTCTGCTCCCAACTTGCAGCTTCATGAGACCATAAGCAGAGAATGTCACAGCACAGTGAAGCGCCGGACCACTGTGCTTGATGGGGTCTCTCGTGACAATGCAGCCCTTTGTTGCAGTGCAGTCAAACTGAATATCTAAACAAATGTTCCAGACCAAGTTACAGCCCTGAACCAAAGCCTGGATGCCAGCAATGTCCCCAGCAAGCCAAAAGTGGGTGGTAAGCAAGCCAGAGGCTTCTTTACTGGAGCTGTGATCTCCATCCTGTTAACTGGAACAGGACAGAGGGTCTGTACTGAGGTCTCAGTACAAATAAGATCTTTGTTGGATTTTGCACAGGGCTCCCTGTCTCTTCTTATAACAACCAA